TTTTAAAATGCTCTCAACTCAGAAGGGAGCTTTAGATCGAGGACGCGACCGCTTTGAGAACGTGGTGACCGATCAAAAGCCTGGACGAGAACGGGGCAATTTTAAGAAGTGCTGTGAGCTAACGCCGGGATAGCACGCTGATGTGCGCATAGAAAATTCTGAGTCAGTCCCATATGCAGACTTCAAATGGTTTTTTTTGTTGTTGTTCTTAATTTATTTTTATTTTCTTACACAGCGTGGCCGCATTTTCGAGCTTAAAGAAAACCTTACGGAGGCCAAGAATTGCTTCGATAATGCGATCTCCATAAACCCAAGCCACGTGGCCAGCATTCAACACCTGGTAGGATGTACAAAATAAAACTGGACTCATTAACGAATACAGATTGGCTTTAAAAAATTAATTGAGTATTCGCACTATTAGAGAGTAGCCGTGATTTATCGGCGGGGGGTGGGAAGATTTTGGGAGGATCCTATGGTTTTTGAGGGATACGGAGGGGAGATCAGTCGTCGCTAACAGAGTATAAAGGGGGGGGGGGAACTATAGAAAATTGACCGCTAATTTCAGTTGAATTAGATTTTTTTCTAATTTCAATTGTTTCTCCTCCTCAAGATTGTGTTATGTGAACAGTGGCGTCAGTCGCGGCTACGTTTACACGTGAATCTGGGTATTTAAGTTAATAACTGAGTTGATAACGTAAATTGGCCTCCGTAAAGAGTTTCAAAGCTGACGTTTCAAGCGTTAGCCCCTCGTTAGCTCTACGCTCGAAATGTCAGCTTTTAAACTCTTAACGGTGGCCAATTTACGTTATCAACCCAGTTGATAATACTGAATTACCTTGTTATACTCTCTCACCGACGGAGCACCACAGTTTCTCTAGAAACTTACCCCCTTCATATGTGAAACTGTTTGATTCATTTGTTTTCCTCAGGGTGCAGTGTATCACAAACTTGGTAATCTTGTTATGGCTGAGAAAGTCCTCCGCGAAGCTATCAATATCGATCCAACAGCATTTGAAGCTTGGTGAGTGATCGCTTTTATACAAGTTCTTGGTTTAGGCGCGGTTGTGAATCATTAAGCAACAGGGTACCATTCATTTTGTTATAACTGAATAATATACGGGTCATGTGATTTTTTTTTTTCATCTTTCTTGCTTACACGGATTTATAGTCTTGTTCAGTGCCAGATCCCCCTCACCAGCGACATGTTGCGTTACATTATATAACGCTTTCTCGATTCTTATTTTTATTTTATTTCGTGCACCGTGTTGTATCGTGCCATTTCATGTTCAAAGACCTGCCAGTGTAAATAAATGGTCATGAAACGTGTAGATCTCATTTGTAATTCTCCTTACTGTCTGCCATACAATTCTCATGGTGTAAGTTCACAGAATATGGTATTGGATCAATTAATAACCCCCTTATTGATATTAATCTCTATTCTCACCACTTGTGTGTTTGATATTGTATTGATATGTACGATGTGTCTGTCTGCTTAATGTGTCATTTCATTTCAGGCATCTTTTAGGCGTGGTTATGGAAGCTCAAGACGAACACGAGGCAGCGAGCGAGTGTCTAATGACAGCTATTGACTTAGAGGCCACACATCCTATTGTGCCATTAACAGTGATACCAAGGTTATTATGGGCCTACCAGAAGTTTGCTGTGATCCAACAACCGAAAAACAACAAGAATACTTAAAAAATGATTTTTAGTAGTAATATGACTGAGTACAGTCAAATTATGTCTGTAATCGTACGAGTGATTACCAAATCAGACGACCGCGATACGGGAGTCCGATTTGTTTATTACGAGTATGAGAGCAGACAGAATTGAACAACCCGAAGTCCTGTCACCAATGAATCAACACTTTGACAAAATTTGAGAAATAAACTAGCCATCAGTGATATGTTTTCATGAAAAAAGCTACAAGGAACTAGGCAAATGCGTGGCAGTAACGCGTGCACGTGACCTGTACTGTCCAGTTACACGGACATGACGCTGATTACACCGTGCAATTACAAGCATGACGAGTAAGTGTCCAATTGGTGCACAAATCGGAAAGGTGTTAACCAGTCGCGTTCGAGAATTGTTCAGTTTAAAATTTTGATTATGATGTTAATTTCACTCCGATGTGCTCAGTCCTCAATGAAGACAAGTTTTATTTATAAAAATACAATAAAGTAAATGAATTATATTATTGTCGTTTGCGACTAGCAGATCTTCTTGTAACGCTGGTCTGGAATGAGCCGTCCACAAATACATTTAGTAGACTGGGAAGAGCATGCCCCTGAAGAATGCAAACAGCTTTTTGATACCGAACCAATTAAGGGTGTTACTCGCTCCTGGTACCAGAAGGACAGTGGACTGATTAAAAAAACAAAAAGGAAGAAGAAAAACTCCCGTTTACGCCTACTATTGAGAAATAGTAGGCGTGAGAAATATTCATGAGAAATATTCAAAACAAGCTTAAAGAAATGTTTGTTTTGCTAAACGTGTTTGTTTCAAGTTGTAATTTCGTAGTGAACTGTTGATTTTATCAGCAACCCAAAGCCCTGACCTAGAATGCGATGAAACAGACATTCAAGCATGATAATTAAGCATGATAATATACATTGCTTTCTCTCTTTGAGTAAGCTCATTGTCTCCGGGTTCCAAGAATCACTTTCGATTTCCGGTCGTGGAGTCGTATTCCGTACCGTGCTCTATGATTGGCGGAGAACTGTCGTTTTCTCAGAATTCGTCGGTATTTTGCATAATAGGTTTCAGGGAAGATCGAGCGGCACAGTTATGATTCAATTTATGCGGCGATAAAAAGTGTTACAGTTCGTATTGGTTGGAATGGATGTTTGCAACAGCAAGGAAGATTGAGGTAAGTGTTATTTAATTGCACTTCAACTCTTTGGCGAAATCTTGTTGCTTCACGACTCGACCAATTTTAGACCCAGTCCATGATCGCAGGGCAGACAAGGTACAAGCTTCGTGAATAGAAAAGTAATGGGAATTTGCTCTTTGGGAAACCATCCAGCCGTAACAGGAAAATTTTCGGTGAAATAAACAATCGTACTCCTTTCCAAATTTCTTGGCCGAGCCTTATGACTCTTTTGAGGAAGTTTACACTTCCTTCCTTGGATGCAGACAAGTCAAACTCTGTGATCCCTTTGAACGTGTCTACTTCAGCTTGGAATCGTAGATCTTTTAGCTATTTTTAAATAGTTTCTAGAACCAGTACCGGTTTTTTTTCGACTGATAGCGATAGGACCCGCAAATATCAAGGATCCCGCATCGGCAAAGTCGACGTTTATCGAAGGCATTTCACAGATTCCTTTCTCATTGCTGGTAATACGGGAAAAAATATAATCAATGGCGATTTACGATGTTGGCTCTCTTGGAAATTCGGAAACCAATTCACTGCCGTACATACTGAAAATTTCTGGAAGCAGGTATACTCTATTTGTCAGGACTTTAAAATATTTCCATGATCAACCTAAGGATATCTTCAGTGAATGAAATACGCAGACTTAAATATGATAAACTGGTATTGTTTGACATATAAGTGAAATGAGTGAACTCACTCTATACACGATTAGAATTTAGATTCTTCATGAACCGCCATAAGCTTTCTTTAGCAAACGTAGTTAACTGTCTACAGAAACCCAGGTCAATATCACTAGCGATATGAATATTTATTTCGTCGAAGTAAGTGAGGGGATTCTCTGCATTCAAGCAGCGTAGCGATCGACGCACTCGGAGCTGGATAGGACCGAAAATTTGAGGTGAAAAGATCCATTCAAACGGTGAAGCATCGGAAACAAAACTAACTGAAACCAATCTCTCTCCATATGAAAATCGCCGAATGGCTAAAAGCTTGTAGTAGTTAGCTGTTTGAAATACATTTACGCCCATTGATGACCACTGAGTGACGAAAAATTCTGAGACACATACACATAAAAGGTTTTTGCGATTTTTCTCTCCCTTTTCTTCTTCGTCTTACACAGGGCACATTGATGGAAACACTTTTCCTCAGTTTGCAAAACGCTCGTGTTTTCTTTGAACAGGCTTTTCAAAAGAAAAATTTGAGAGGCAAAACAAGTCATAAATATTTTCCGAAATACTTTGTTATGGATCTTCGGAAGCTTTAATTTCGAGGGATCCCGTATACATCATCCAAGTGTGATATTTTGTCGAGTATATAACAGATAATTATAGTGAATAGTAGGGCAGAGGATAAACCAGAATGTTCCACCATTCCAGTGAATAAATACATCTTCAAAACATGTAAAATTAGTTCTCTAATCGGTTGTTTAGACTGCAAAGGCCTCTTCTTAATTTATACAAATGTAAGGTGAGTTGTGGCTGGCGAACAGTTTTATAGAAACGCATGAAACAGTCGTCTGACCAACATTCGATTCAAACATTTTGTTCCACATTAAGATTGTCGATAGATTTATTCACATTTAAAAAGTTTCCATCTATAGCACAAGGATTTTTTTCTGTTTCTTCCACAGTAAAAAATCAAAGTGACGAAGTTTCCTGAGCTTCCATCGAAGATGTTCGA